TAAGAACCGATATTTTGTCACTGAAAGTAAAAGAATTGAACGACAACTAAATTTCACATCTGATGTATACTTCACTATTTAAACGCCTCTTGTGATTATTCTCACCATAGAAGTAACTAGTCAGTGCATAATATGTGCGCTTTGAGTTTGATGAGAACCCGATATCAGACAGTTGATGAATCTTGGGATTATCATTCGGATGTGGCCTACCACGACAAGTTAGTGTATTGCATATAGAACAAAGAAAAAGGAAAATTGAAAAAGCCGACTGCACTGCACTACTATTCCGATCGTGTTCAAGATAATCAGCTGAGAGAATTCATTGATTCAACTGGCGGATTTAGCCTTGTACTTCAATGACAGAACACTATTATATGAACCCTTAGGGATCGTGCTATGAGCACGGTAGGATGTGGGCACCATGATACAGGCTCCAGGTAGTCAATCAGGAGACGAAGTTCCCGACCAATCTTGTGATCCCAAATACAAGTAATTGGATTGGCTGAATGCAAGAAAGCGACCAAACAGGGGCATTCTAGACCAGCTGATTTTCATTGGGGTTTATATTCTTCCGTGCATCCGAATAATTGAATGTCACAAAAATCTTTGTTCATGGAATCTGAACTCCATAATCTAGCAATCGTGGTACAGGTCAAACGCAAAATATGTTGGTATCAATAATCCATTTTAGTTTCTTCGGGTGTCACCTTCGCTTTCTTTCATTTTCAGAAAACTTTGTTACCATCGTTTTAACGATTTAGTTGTGTTTCTGATTCCATAATCTCCCGTAGACTGTCCTAACACTTTTGGGAAAACACTCAGTTATGAAGGTAGATTATTGACAGGTTTGTGTAACATTATCCAGAAATTTGAAGTTAAGAGCCCCAAATAAGAAGAGTACTTTGCTGAGCCCGCAAATGGTAGATCTGCTTGACACTAGCACAATTGGAGACTGACTAGGTTCATATCCAGCATTAATTTGCGATGGTAGCTTTACGAACCAACTGGGTGGGGTACTGGAATTTTTGTTTTCTTTGGATAGGTGTTCAGTATCCAAAATGTCACCACATCGCACTATACTCAAAGTCGCTCGACGTACCGCTCCCACAGTGCATATAAGAGAGGATCTCGTCAACGAAACGCTACCACTCCAAACCTGTTATTCTGTAATATCTCAATAAGCAAACCACGCAGATTACTTCAATCCAGTATGGTGACTCATTTTCGTATAGGAGAAATAAAACATTCTTAATGACATACCACCAAAACTGATTTGTCGTAAAAAATGTTTTGCTGTAAAGTTCTGTAGACCTAACGCTATGCATATGATGAAAACACTTGAATGGTCGTAACACAGACTGGGATCGGTTTGCAAGGTACCGGTGAACAATTTCATTGTCACCAATTTAGAAATAGCGGGGCAAATTTCAGTAGTATTCTGTCCGTGTCCACTTAGTCATCCAAATAATTACAAACGACGCTCCAGCAGACTTCGATCTTTAACTTCAACTATAATGTCTTGAATGATAGTGCAATTTCTCTGTATTCAACCAGATGGTTTAAATGTTCCGCCCTGGGAGACGGTCACTTCTATTAACTGCACTGTCCGTTTGTCCAAGTTACACCACCGATCAAATACTGGCTGAATATACCATTTTCAATTGTGAGATACATTAAAATGTAGTTCATAACGCTATTTTGGACCACTCAGAGATTAAATTGTCAGATATCATAATTCGACATCAGGGATATCTCCCTTTCTGAAAAAAGATTTGTGCCATTGTGTATAGTCCACAAAGAGTAAGTAAAACGTTATTTCTTCAGTTTTTTCCTTGGTAGAATCACTTTAGACGACAAATGAATTCGTCCACGACCTATGACTCTCCTTCCCGGATTTTTACTTGAATCGAAAACCCATTCATCTACTAAAATTGCATTAAATCAGTCAGGTACTGTCTCTGCCGCTCCGATTTTGCCTCTGGGATCGATAGTTACATTTTGCCAAAAGTTTTTCCAGTCAGACCTCAGCTTACACCCAACTGAATGCTATCTCTCGATCATTGCACGACACGTGGCACCATAAATGAATTTCATTTCATGCGTGGAGGATGAACAAACACCGTAGTAATAAAAACCCTAACCAAATGTACACGAACCTCACATGCAGCGGTAAGGGTCTGCGAAAAATATCAAATTCGAAGTAAAGAACGCTTTCATTTTTCAACGCATCTTGGCTCTCATAGAACCTATAAACACCAACAACTGTTTAACTTTTAGAATGAATTTAATCAAGTATCAAGAAGCACTGATTACCGCAAATCCCATATTGTGTTACGAAACTACAGCGAGGGATCACTCCTTATACAGAGTCGATTTTTCACCTTCCACATGCGTCATAATGTTGTTTGGCACATAATAGAGGCAATAGTTACAAAAGGATCGGTCACCTCTTTGGGGTTTAAATCCAAGCATGGACGCCGTCTTAGATTTGCAGGGTTGAGCTACGACATGCAGTGGATGCACATCACTCCTGGGAAAATCATAAGCTTAGCCACGAAACCCACATGTACTTTGAAAAAATGGACTGACGATGACCAAATGGCCCAACCATTTCCACCACTTAGAATTGGGTAATCGTTTTGTTTTATCTCTGTCTAAGAGCACGTTACCCGTCTCAATCTATGGGCTTCTTGATTTCTCTGACCTACTGATAAGGTGTCTCAAATTTCTGCCATGTGTTTGTAAACACTAGTTGCGTGTGCCTGGTTTCTATGGAATTTATTTGAACTATATTAAAGTTTACAAAACAGTACGAGGAATAGGCTTACGTATCACATTTCTGAAAGATTAAAGTGTAGAATAGTGCGATATGAAGTTCCGTAGGGCCTATGAAAATTATCCTAACAGAGTGCTTCGTGTGTACCCCAACTGATGAAGGGACGGACCCTTTTGATGCATCAAAGCCTAAATCACCAGGCAGCACGTGCTGCAATTCAACAATTGACCGCAACCAAATGGATTCATACGCCACTCAAACAGCTGTTTAGAAAACCATGACCTATGAATCACTCTCGACCAGCAAGTGATGTGATTAGTGAATGGTTTTAAAGGTAAATCACACCGAACTTCCAATGGATTAGTGATTTTTTATCGGAGGCAGTCTGAAACAGGAAACACCTGGTGGTGATGCCGCAGTTTGCTCGCAATAAGCCACAAGGTGATTGTCATTAAACTACCACAGAATATCCCTATCCAGATCTCGTTAACGCGTATGGTGGCAAGCAGCTTTTTCTCTTATGGATATTGAAGTACCCGGACAAATGACGAGGCAGATCTGTGTAACGTATTTCAAATTACTGCTTTTAAAAACTACCCAAACAGTGAACTCTTGAATACAGTGATAATACTGAAAAATGAGCTTAAGGAAACCGATTCCATTGGTTTCTAAGGTCGAGTTTAAGTTTCACCGGTCCTTTTGACCCTAATGTATGGTGCAGTGAAGTAGTTGTTGCGTGTCAGATATTAAGATCATCAGTGCCGTACAGCTTTGGAGGACTCCAGCGGTGCCACCGAAAGTCAGATTTTAGGTAACCACGGTCGCATACTAGCTCGACTTTCACAGATTGTAATGAGTATTATAGGTAAAACCAAAGTCTTGAAGAAAACTATACGATGTGAAATGTGCGCTGAGAAAGGTAGGGCTGGAAGACCATACAAGGGCGGATTACTCTCCAAAATGAAGGCATGGAGACCATGAACAATGGACCTCGTTAAACAAGCTGCTCTGTGACTCTCGAAGTCAGCCGAATCAAGGTAAAAAAACACCAAATATTGATACAGCTAAGTGTCACAAGCAGTAGTGCTTGTATTTCGTCATGTCTCCAACTTTTAGTCCGGATGTAAACTCTCAGGCTTCTCTACCACTATTAACCGGATTGATGGCCAAAAGACGGCAAACAAACCCGGAGAACAGAAATTTAGGATTAGTGATCGTATGAACTGAAAGTGATTAAAAGAACGCATAAAATGATTACACAGCCCATCACACTGACCGCAATCACCATGCGACACGATATATGACAAAAGCGCCCCGTAGTGTATTTCCTAGGGAACAACTTTGGAACAAGCGTGAAGTGGCCCAAAGGCGTTCTGCCCCGCGTAACTAGCTCAAGTCGACGAGGGAAGGAAAGTAACAAGACGGTATTGGTGAAATAATGAGAAATTATTGATAGAGAGAGATAAATGAATGAATGAATGAATGCGTCACACGAGTAGACACACATACAGAAAAGCAACATGATGTAAAACCGGGAAGAAAAGCAATCGCCAATAAGCATTAGATCAGTTTGAGTGGATAAAAATGCATAGCACCAGCGACTGCGTCAGGAATAGATAGATAGATAGTTTGTGTACCACAAACGGTTACGTTGTAGCAGCCGATCAGGCTACAAAATAAATTAGAAACCCTAACAAAGGAAGAAAAGCCATTTTTTGCGCAACAGAGGCAAGCAAAACATGGAGGGACATTGGTAACAACTAGTAAATGCAGGATGAAGCATGGTCAGCATGAGTCTTTTATCCGGACAATTGCGTACAAATTTGAGACGAGAAAAAGAAAACAAAAAACAAAAACGTAAAAAAGGCAAAGAAAAACCGGATGTACGACAGAGAACGACAAAACCTGGGTCAACCCGTCGCTGACAGGTCCGGACAATTAGAAAAAGCGGTAAAAATGCTTGTCATGTGCGGCGTGTACGCAGTCAGCATTAGGAGGTTGTTTTTTTGGAAAGTCATCATGAAAAGATCAATAATGAGACGTAGTGGGGAGACGCTCTGATGTGTGTAAATAAATGCATGAATCAGACCCACATTGAAAAGATACAGACTGAGGTGGCATTCCGGAACCAGGAGGCTATACACATTCCGAACGGCGAGAACTGTCCATAGCGTCAAAGCGCATGCAGCGTAGGCAAGACAAGAAACGGACTAATGGAATCGATTCAAAACAAACCTTTTCGTTTTTTCTCAGTTTTGGCGCGTTCCTTGATTACCTCGTTGATTACGCGTTCCCCTAAACCAAGAGTCGCCCCGTTTGTTCCGATATCGGCACCGATATCCCATTCACGCCATGCCTCTTCCCAATTAGCTCGTTCCAAATCGAACGCACGACGTGCAGCCTCTTGTTCTTGTTCCTGAGCTCGAAGTTGTTCACGCATTTGATCTGCTCGCCGCATGAGATCATTCTCAAATTCACGGAGCTTTTGATTCTTTTCTTCGACCTGAATTTCCAAGTCAACAAACCATCATACAATGAAATTAAATCAACATATGCCAAGGTACGAGAAAACAACACAATGCATAGTTATGTATAAAACAAAGGAAGTGAAATAAAAACGATAAGCACAATGGAGTTGTTCTGATTTCGTCCTGTAGTACTTTTGTTGCATATAAATTTTTGTCTCATCTGAAATTGTGGGTGTATCCACTCCTCTAATGAACATGCAATTGCTCGGATGCTTTCTAAGTTTCACTCCTTGATGAATTCTTTAAAGAAGCATAGGTCGACACAAGTGCCATCGAACTTCTAGCGGTCAAATCTTAAACAAACGAATTCAGGCGCAGTAGTTTGCAGAACATATTCTATTTGAGATCAACTGCACCCAGCCTGGGACAAAACAGTGAAGGATACTGACCAATCAGGACTTTCGCAATGTACTGCTCTAATGTTAACAGTTCAGAATACGCCTCAAGCTTCATTACAACGGGATATTTTGATAGGTAAATGAGACGTAATCTGCACGGTGTAAGCAAATAACTTCATTTTATACAGGGATCTTGGCTTTCCCCGATTCTAAAATTGCTTGGAGTTGACACCTAGTCACTCGTTGATTCTGACAATGGCAAACTGTGCAGTACATGAACCGCCGTTCAATCTAATGACAATTTAGCATCAATCTCTGTTGAGATTAGTTCAGTTGAGGTTTTTGATTGAGTGTTTTATTTGAATTTAAAAGAAAGCTTCACAGAAAACGATCATGAAGTTCGGAAACCAATAGACATGTTATATTTGATAAACAAATTGAAAGAAAGCATTGTCTCATTCGGACTCTGAGTGTTAAGTCTTATTGTGCAAGGTTCGTTTTAGACTTTACGACTAGACTGTGTAAAATGCATCAGGGACATAAGGGACTAGTGAATGGTCACACGCGTCACCGCTGCCCTTCTTCCCCATTACTGTAGTTCATCATACAGCCTTTGTGTAGCCGCGAGCCCCTTTTCTGAAAGTTTATTGTACTACTGTATGCATAATGAACAAAAAAGGGAATAAAAGCACTCATTATTAATCACACTGTCATTTGGCAGATTGAAGTCTTGTGTGAGATTGCGAAAAGTTCAGTAGCCTCGGTGGGATTCCAGCCCATGCATGGACGGGGCCTACGCTTTTGTACAGCGCACGATCGACCAGCTGAGCTACGAGGCCACACCGATAGCACTGATCTTTTCACATTCGTATAACCCGTTCATCTTACAGAGGTATATGGTATACACCAGTTAGCATGTAAGCCGACTGCCTGGACAGGTTTTCCTTAGAATTCACCAGAGTCCATTGAGTGAACTTCCAAGGCAAGATTAATTGTTCACGCTGTTGTTTGGTAGACTGGTATTATTATTATTATTATTAATGTCGGAGCAATTTGAAATAAACGGGATTATACTACCGTATGGCCACTCTAAACTAATCGTCAATCAGGCACACGAATTATTTTCCAAAAACTTTACGTGTGGTCCTTATTCATAAATGTGATATCGCTGCCCTGATGTCAAAATATAAACCAGGTAAAAATTATTATATGACTGGACAAAATTTATCAGAACACCACTGATTAGGAGGTTACAGTCACTTGTGATGCATGTGCATGGGGTACTCCTGTCATACCACCTATCGTATCTGTACTTCCGATGTCAATTTTTTACAATATTACGCGAAACTTTATGCAGTCTGGATTCGGACGTATGCGATATACACAGGTTAGACGTAAGCGACCCACCAAATGCCATCACATGATTTTTTTTCAAAATGGCTCTGCGAGGTGCAAATGAGAGTATTGTGGTTAAGTGTAAACCAAGTGTGTGACTCAAACGGCCAGCAAGTCTGGTTTGGAGTTATCAAAAGTTCAGTGAATATGTGCGATTGGTGACTCCTGCTTGATTTACGGTGATATACGCATCTACACATTTACACAGTGCGTTATTGTTCTTATATTTCACCAATGTCTGAACCCGAACAGCAACAACCGTGGCCAGTGGGAATCTTGAAATTGTTTTCTGCCCCTCACTCACACCCGCATACACACCTACCCCCTCCCCTCTCCCTCATATTCACCACACACTGACTTCAATGGTAGAACATGTGCTGATATTTACCAAAATCACGGTCAACTAAAGTGAAATCTGGTGGTAATCATGACTTAGCGCCATTCATTCGATCTGCGTTCCACATTTGTTATTAATAAGGTTTGATAGCAAACGCGAGAGTGGAGGCAATGTTGTACGAGATTTTATCAATTAACAGCCGATTCCACAAATCAGTCTGGCGAGTAATCCAGAAATGGTTGGTGCAGTTGCCAAACGTGGTTTGTAAATGACGGATAATCGACCTGATCGATATGGTCTACTTTAGATCACAAAAGTAAGACAATGCAGCTGAGTCACACATACACATACACAAATAAGGTAGTTTCATAGACACGCAAGTGTGGAGACAGATAAACTACGAACAGCTGTTTCCATATTCGCACCCGACGCACATAGACCAGTAAATCTAAACACGTCACGGAGAATCAGCTTCCACCATACTACATTCGAAAATTCTTGCATTCCGTGGGGAAATACAACAGATTGAAACAACCATACGCAGCACCTAATCTCGATCTTTATTGTGGATTTTAGTGTACAGTACATACTGATAACGTGTCAAACGGAAAAAACCATCACTGAACAGAAACGAAGTATTTTTTAGCAAGTCTGGCGTTAAACAGCAGGAAAATGAGAAAAGAAATAAAGAAAGGCAGATTGTGAGTGTTTATGGTTATGTTTATGGTTAAATCAAGTAAAGAAAAGCTGGAGCATTAAAGGAAGTGTATTGAGAAAACCTACCGTCATTCCTACTAGCTATATTATCACTGTAACAGGGGTACAGAGCTTGTCTGCGAAAAAAAAATCGAAAGCAAACGCTTTGGTTTTAAACGAGTTCACTTATTATGAAAAGATAGGCAACCAGGAAGGAAATGCGAGGCCTAGGCAAAAGCCTATTACACTTCTGATGAGTCATGAGATATGCCATTGATCAATTCACTAAGGGGACAACTCCATGTGCGGTATTCGTGGCTTTGCAAAGGTAAAATGCCGTACGGCATGTTTGGTACAGAAAGCAGACAAATACAAGATGTCGATATTTCGTTTACTCCTTTAAACAGCTAACTTAAAACAATCTAAAATTTATATAATACTGCTTTAATACTTGCAGGATATAAAGGAGAGGATACCGTACAAAAAAGGATATGAGGTCATGTGAATGGTCATTGGAGAATCAGTATCGATCACTTCTGAGCGTAGAGCAATGGGTTGCACGATATGGTCAGCATTCGTTCAATTAATGCTAACAGCTCCGGATTTGTTTTGTCAGGCATTTGTGTGGTGTGCAGCTGACAGAGTGGAACCCCGAAGACCTGCTATTCAGTGGTGGAAACCGGCAACCTAAGCCCCGGAACTGGGGGTGGCCCTGTAAGGTTAAGCGTGGTATTGAACCAGTCGACAGCCGAGGCCAACCACCAACGTTGCGTGGCGGTGACAGAGACTGAACCACTGCGTCCTCAATGACACTTCAAACTAGCTACATTTAATGCAGGAAACCCGATGTGTGTAGCATAACAAACGTGTTTAGCACGTAGGCTCCACAACCTACCCATTAATGTGTTGTACCCAAGATACTCGGATTTAAAACTCCAGCTCCATCAACTGATTGGGGCCCCCAACCAACCAATCCGCGAAGTTTCACTTGTCTCTCTGGAGTCCTTTGGGTCTCTGGTCCCGACGGTGTAGCATTGTCTCTCAAGGAGAGCTGAAGACGAATTCCTAAATTCGATCCCAACCGATTGTCTGTTATGCACAGTGAGACTTAGAGACTTGCGCACAGCAGTCACCGCCCGAAAAGGGAAATTTCTTATCGTCTTGGCGTATGCATTCATCGACTGAAACTCGGATACAGTCAGAGATACCTTTTGCTAGAAGCTGCAACACCCATTGCATAAAGCAGTTCAGACTAACATCGTGAGTTTAGCAAGAGATATGAACGCTAAATTAAGTTGGCTGTCTTCCAACGAAGCTGGATTCCTGAGGCTCGGGAACCGGGGGAAGACTGTCAGCTCCATGCTCTGACTAACGTCCACTCCTCCTTAGTGCAAACTTCAGACGCTCCAAATTCGGGTAAGCCAATAGGCGACGGATTCAACTCCGTCACAAATGACGAGGTTGCGCACCCATCCGAACTGAAGCTCTATCATGGAATCCGAATAAACATAAGCCTGTGATAAGCTGCCCATATGCTTCGGCGGGTGTTTCAAGCGGGTGATATAGCGAGGATTAGACTGTCACTAGTAGCTTGCCTAGTCACCTTCTAAAAGGTGCTATCTGAAAAGCTAGAAACAATTTCACCTAATAACGGTACTCAGTACTGATTGCTCATCAAGAATGCTTCGCATTCCGCAGGACTAACGAGTTGTGGTACTCTGAATTTCCACTGATCTTAGAAGCCTTGACGCACACCGACCAACCCCAGCTGACGCTAACATAACGAAATACGACTAGTAACAAGAAACGAACGCGATCAACACACCGGTATATGCCTAATTCCAATAGTGTCCAAGCTGTTGACGTAAATCATGCTTCACATAGTATGAAATACGCGTGAGGAGCAGACACACTGGGTTCTATATCGATCGTGGATCTATCGATCTATCTTTACCTTCCGACAGTTGTTAGAGCACCGTCACGTTTTCCAGAGACAAATATTGATGTGTTCTTAGGCATCCCAACGGTTTTGGATGCGATCGACATCTCTGCATTGTGGAACTGTTTGTTGATAAATAAACACCTGAAAAGAAGAGTCAATTCTGAAAGAGATGTAACGTCATATATCAGGTTGGATTAAGGCCTATGGCCAGCCTTCGCCACCCTTTGCCGTCTCCAACGGATTGCAGCTAAGCTGCCCTATATCCTCATTCCTGTTCAACTTTAACATCGAGGACGTTCTACAAGACCTTTTGACAGTACTAGGAAACCGTGGAGTTGAACTTCGCCGTGGGAACAGGATGTTAACCCAAAATATATTGATAATATCACCTTATTGTGACAACACTCGTACAGTTTGTGTTTTTAACCGCAGAGACCGCGAGATTTGGTGGAATCAACGCGCGTCAGAGATGGAGCGTGCTGCTGCCATGGGAAACTCTCGTAAGCTGTTCCATCTCATCCGGGTCACCGGCAGGAAAGCTTTCGGTGAGTGAAACGATCTGCTAAGCTGACGGTTCGCCCATTCATAATCAACAGTGACGTCTTGCACGTTGGGCGGAGCACTTCAAGGCACAGTTTAGCTGGCCACCAACGTCGGCTTTTCATACAGCTCTTCCGGCACACGTCCCATGATCTGTCACAATAGACCCACCTTCTGAGGCGGAAATCCGTAAGCAGACCCAAGCTTTGGGACGTCACAAAGCAACGGGCTCCGATGGTCTTCCCCCTATTCTTAGTGGAACACCGCTTGTTAGAGAACCACACGTCCTGTTCCCCAAAGTGTGGAACATCGAACAGGTTCACTCTTTGTGAGGGAACCGATTGTCATCCCCATCTTCAAAAAGGATCCGCGCGGTGACTGCGCCAATCATGGGGGTATAAGCCTAATTTCGATAGCGTCAAAGCTGTTTTCGTCCGTCATTCTCCGCCGATTGTACACTATGCGTGAGATGCAGACCCGCGAGGAGTAGGCCGGGTTTCTTGTCGGTCGTTGATGTATCGATCAAGTCTTCATCCTCCGACAGCTGCTAGAGCACCATCATACCTATCAAAGACCAACGATCACTGTATTCTTAAATATCCGCGTGGCCTTCGACTCTGTCAATAGGACCGTACCATGGGATTGTTTGTTGAAGAATGGAGTACCTGAGAAGTGTGTCGATCCTCAAAGAGTTGTATCGTCACACCTGAGGTCGGCTAGGGCCTATGGCCAGCTTTCACCACCCTTCGCCGTCCAAATTGAGTTCGATAATATCCTCTCTTTTTCAACTTGATCACAGAGGGTGTTCTATAGAATGCTTTGTCCGGTCTGACAAACGGTTGAGTTGAACGCCTCCAAGGGAATAGAGTCCTTGACTTAGAATATGCCGATAGCATCGCCTCGCTGGGTGACAATACACAGGCAGTCCAAGACGCTTTGAACCGCTGGGTGATTGAGGTAACAGGTATGGTATGTGCTTTGCACCTTCTAAGTGCAAAATGTTTGTTTGAGACTGGCAGGAGCGTGTGCCTGCGCTTACCCTCTGTGGTGATCAGCTAGTAGTTGAGAGCTTTAAATACATCCGGAGCTTGATCGCAGCTGGTGGTGGTGTTGGGGAGATCACATCACGAATAGGGAAAGCCAGAACAGCTTTCGCCAACCTGCGACACCTATGGCGCGGCCGTGACATCCGACTGTCACTCAAGGGAAGGGTGTACATCGCCACAGTTCGCAGCGTTTTGCTCTACGGTTCCAACACCTGGCCTCTCCGCGTTGAGGATGTTAATTGTTGAATCTGTTTGCTACCCTCCACACGTTTTCGCCCACGAATCTGTCTAGTCCCTTTTCCCTCAAGTGTCATTGTCTTGACCGTGCGTATTATCGATCAGACATACACTTTTCCCTTGTTTCATTTCTTCGCTCGCCCACCAAACTCGGTTACTCCCCCCCCCACCCCCTTCTTGTGACCGTTGTTCCTAATCCTGACATGGTGACTCACCTTGCCCTATGGTTATCGTATGGAGTTGCTTAATTTTATTCGGATTGGTCCTTTGTTTCACAGATGCGTTACACTGTCCCATGAGCACATGTGCG